AACCCATCTAAATTTATAGCAGTGGGCCCCACGTCTTAACATACCAATAAACACACTGACATATATATATATATATATATATATTAGCTTGTCGCTATATCTTGATCTGCCGCCGGCGAACAGCAGTCGCCGGCGAGAAGCCACCTCAAAGAGTTCCAACGGGTGTCCGTCGACAGCGAACCACTACTCGCTGCCGACCACCTCGGCAGCTCAATCGGTTGCCCACAGATACCCAATACACACACAAATGGTGCCCCATTGCCTGCGACCACCTCGTTTGCCGCCGACCTTCCCACCGGCGCTCCGCCCCAGAGCCACCCAACATCACCCACAACCACCGCCCATACCATGTACTCACTGAGCACGCCTCCACGCAAGTCACAGCTCGCTGGACTTCGACCATTCCCCGCCACGCAGACCCAGCGGCCAAGTTTTAACGACACAATCGCTGCCAAAATTCAAAAATCGAGACGGTCTCTCTCCAGCCACCACGAGCCACCGATTTCGCCGCTCTATATAGCGAATTGCCTCAAATTCTTTGTGGATTGCGGCAGTGACGGAGAGGATAACTATGTGGCAGAGGGCGGCTGTGGCAAGGGCTTCAGTTGACATCGGCTAGGGGACGACGAGATCGTGTTTCAATTTTGATGTTGGGCAGAGAAAAATCATTTGGGGGTTGGAGGCTTTTATTTGAAAATTGGATGATTTTTAGGGATCTTAAGGAAATTTCAAACATTTTACTATAGTTACAATTTAATATATGGGTTAGATTTACAATTTATTAAAAAGTTAATAAACGCACATTAATGTTAATTGATATGCACAATATAGGGCACTAAATTGATTTGTAATAAATGTTGGTAAATAAGATTTTTTTTGTAACATTGTGACAAATATCATAATAAACTTCTATAATTGATTTTTAATTTTATTTTGTAATTATAATTTTGTCGTACATATTCGAATAATATTTTTAAAAGAAAACCTAGTTGATAGATGTTTCTTAAGACATTGTATTGTTGGTCACCAAAAGAATAAGAATTTTCAGTGATTCGTAATTAATTTGAAAGAATTATATTTTTATTGCGATAATTATCACAATCTATTTTTCAAAATTGATATCACTTTATTTATATAGAAACTCATTACGTTAATTGAATTGCACGATTTACAACAGATAGATATATTTGATTTTAATTTTTTTATAATATTAGTTAATTTTTACTATATTTCCTTTAATAATAAGTCAATCTATTTAGTTATAAAGTCAAAGTTACTATTTTAATTAATTCCATCAACCTTTTTCAATATATAGATCATTATGTCAAAGTTACTATTTTAATTAATTCCATCACCAAAATTATGAAATCGTATCCAACCATTTTACTAGTATTGATTTTTCAATATAAAAATTAGTTTAAAAAAAATTACTAGATATGGAATAAATTATGGAGAATTGCTATGGTCCCGTTATGGTACCATCCATTTGGGAGTTTTAACTGTTGAATACACATTTAGTTAGTATAAGATAAATGATCCAATGGTTAAAACACCCGACGGGATGATACCGTAACGGCACCATAGCATTTCTCTAAATTATGAATTGAATCATTTCAATTTATAGTGAGGACTCCAAGAATAATTAGAATTATCATATTATAGAAAATGCATTCTCATTCCCTTGTATATATATTCCAAAAACATCCAAAAATATGAATATAAACGATTTCCATATCCTTATTTTCCAAATTCGAATTATTGGAAAAGATTTTTACCATAAAATTTGAAAAATTTTTGGTGTCTCAAAAATCATAAATGCAAAACCAGGTTGTGAGATATTTTGAACAGTCAAACCCAAAAAAAAAAAATTATATAAAGGCGCCATGGGAAATTATAGAATGTATGTCGGAGCAGAAAAGGAAAGGTAGACCTGCATCAACTCCCCTATATATATATTCTCCTCCCTTTCTCTCTCATCCCACTCCGTTGTGTTTTCTCTGTTTCTCTCTCCATAAAAACGCTCACATTTTGCCGAAACAAATAATACAAATTCATTTACATTTACAGATCGGAGGAGTTGAAAAATCCGTCCGATATGGGAGCGTGTGCGAGTAAGTTCAAGGATTCCAAGGACGCGACGGCCGACGAAGCTCCGGCGCCGCCTGCCAAGGAGGAGGCGGCGGCGCCGGCGGTGCTGGCGCAGAGGGAAGTGAATCTTGAAGAAAAAGTCGATAAGGATGATGTGCCGGCGGCGGCGGCGGAGGCGGAGGCGGCGGGTGGAGAAGCCAAATCTCAGTCTCTCGGCCGTCTGTTCGAAGAGGTGAAATTGGTAATATTATATGCGTAAAACGATATAGTGTTGATGGCACAAAATGTTAACTGCTAGGCATTTCGACTCTCATCTCTGTGGTAAGTTATGGGTTTTCTTGGGTTCAGATTGAAAAAAAAAAACGAGTCATCTGCCATTGTAGCTGTCCTCTGGTGCGTATTTTACTCTAGAAATTGCAGAAAAAGTGTCAAGAATCTCATGATGTTCCCAGCTCAAAAGCTGAGATATTTTAGTAGCTGCTACTTTTTCTGTTATTATTTTACATTGAAGTCATCGTCATCCTCAGAACCCTAACCCTAAACCGTAGTAGATGTTCTGATTAAATCATATTTAGTCACATCTCACATGATACTTGAACCATTATTTAGTGAGCCTACATATTCCTTGCTATCTGAGAGCTAGTCCTGTCCGAGTAAAAAAGTCGGTCGAAAATAGAACAACATTGTACCCAGAAGACTCCTGAGACTGTTCTCTCTTACAAATCTGAGTGTGAGAGGAAGGTGGAAAAACATCTCATTATTGATTAATATATAAAGGATACTTGTTCCTTGAATTTGTTCGACTTACATTTTGTCCCGTCCAAATTTCTTAACGTAATAGCTTGATTGTTAGTTCGTAAATGAGTGTGCATTTTTCTTTCTTACACACATTTGTTTTGGCATCTTCTACATCCGTTCACTTAGAAATAATGTAAAGATTTTTGTTGAAAAAAGCATGGATCGATTTTATTTGGTATTGCAGGAAGTAAAACAAGAAGTTCCAACGGAGGAAAAGAAAAAAGTAGAAAGTGGTGGTGGCCTAGAGACCGATGAAAAGAGAGCAGATGATTTGAAACCCGCAAGTGAGGCTGTGGAAAATGAAGCACCTCAGGCAGAAGCTGGAGAAAAGCTGGCAGAAACTCCACAAATCGAACCATCGGAGGAGGAAGTAAAGACTGCCAAGATCGGAAGGGCGGATGAGAACCAAGCAGACCAAGTATCTGGTTTAGATAAGAAATGTGAAACTCTTGAGGCAGATAAAAAAACTGAGGAACCCAGTCCAGTTTTAGAAGAAGAAAAGAAGGAAATTGAAGAGAAACTGGCCCAGATTTCTATAATTGAGGAACAAAAACCAGCTTCGGATGAGGAAAATAAAAAAGTTGAAGAGAAACAGGCTGAGACTACAAAAAATGAGGAACAGAAACCAGCTTTTGATGAGGAAAAGGAGAAAGTTGAAGAGAAACAGACTGAGACTACAAAAATCGAGGAACAGAAGCCAGTTTCTGATGAGGGGAAACAGGAAGTTGCAGAGAAACCGGTTGAGATTATGGCAACTGAGGAACAAAAACCAACTTCTGAAGAAAAAAAGGAGGGAACTGAAGAGAAACATATTGAAGTGGAGATACAGACGCCAGCTTCAGGTGTGGAGGAGAAAACTGAGGAGAAACTGGCTCAGAATGCAAACAATGAACAACCAGTGGATGAAATAGAGGATAAAAAAGTTGTTGAGCCCCTGAAGGCAGAAAATGCTGCAGAGAACAAACCGAATGAGAAATTTGAAACACCAGAGACAAAAAGTGAAGAACAGGCTCGAGTTTCAGATGGGGACACGGCTAAAACTGGTGAAGAGAGGGCAGAAGACAAGTGAGCAGGAATAGTGCGGAGAATGACGAGTCAAATTTTAGAACCAGCTAAAAGCTATGGAAAGCTATGGAAGTTGTTTCACATATTATCGAGTATAGTTCTGTGGTCTTTTTCTTTTTATTTTTGGTTGAACATATTCTTTTTCTGTTTTGGATTGGTTGATTGATTTGTTTGCTGTGCTTTAAACCTTTTATCTCAAACCTAGTTCATTGCAGTGGTTTGTATGAATGTTAATATCAACATTTGCTATTTTTCAATGTTCTTTTCGATATTCTAAAGCTCGGAAAAAAGCTGTCATTTTGCTGGGAAACTCTGGAAATATCATGATGTGTATTAAAAGTAGCATTTCTGATTATGAAGAATTTACATGTTCATCATATTTGAATGGCTCTTGCTTGACAATATATGTGACATGTAAATTAAAAGCAGGGCACACCAAAAACCATTTTTATTAGTGAACCCACAGTCAAGTCACCAAAATCCATATATAAGTGAAATTGCCCACTCAAATACAAATCCAACACTAAACAAAAAAGGGAAAACAAAACAAATATAAGCATCATCAGGAGTACAGTGAGTTAGTTGCCTCGTACTCTGTAGTATCTGAATGTCGATTTTTTCAGAAACAAAAATTAATGCAAAAATAAAATCAAAGGAGGGATACAAGGCTACGTTTGAAAGTACTGATTCCGGTCGAGCACTTGTGCGTAAAGTTGAGACCGAACATCTCCCTATTGGGAGCTTGTCCGGGCTCGATCAGACCCACCAGCTTTGCAACAAGAAACGCGCTTTCTGTAACATGGTTTATGTCTTCTGTCTTGCTCCATACGAGGCGTGCCAGCTGTAGCCTTCTGAGTTTAGTGTTGAGACCAATGCCCCACTCGGTGAAGAGATTTTCTCTCTCTTGCTCGGAAAACTTCTTCGACATCTGCTCGCTCAGCGTTCTTCTCTCTTGGCGTAGAGCCTTGGCACTGTTAATAAATAAATAAGGGAATTTCAACTCGTATGAATGAAAAAAAAATGGAAGAATAATAATAATTATAATCTTACCTTGAAGAAAGTGTTAGAGTTCGTCCATCCACAACGGCCTTGTCCCCACGTGAAAATTTATCCCGCAATAATTTCATTCTCCTCATCTCGACCTCCAAATATATAGCATCCGAAGGATCGCCTTGGAAAAGCAAGAAGAAGTAAGTCCGATGCAAGAGTGAGATGTTGCAAGCGTTCCAAAGCTCGATTATCTCTCTTTGCAGCCTTCTGAACTCTACCGGCCAACTTGTGAGACCTCTGCATTCATCTTCTGTTGTTTTTCCTTTTTGTGTAACAACCTCTGTCTCCTACATAAACCATTATAAGTCGAGTCATTAGAGTCGCACGTGTGTGTGTGTGCGCGCGCGCATAATAAAGGTACAAAAAATGTGGATTATCCATATGATCTCATGTTCTGATTTTGAGAGTACAAAATATTAAATAATGGAAATTATTTTAACTTTAAAAATATTTGAACTCACTGGTCCATTGTTAATTTCTTCTCTAGATAGTAGCTCGGCTTTCTCACTCAACTCATGGTTAGCTCGGCTCCCACCCTCACCAGCCGGAAACTTTGCATCCGAGCTGACCATTTTAGTGTCCAATCCAACGGCTGGCGTAGTATCTCCACCATACTCTTCTGATTTGAACCATAGTGAAGATGAGTCACTCCTAACACTAGCTCGGCAGCTATTGCTTCTCGCCAGATTCAAGCTCCTCCCGCCACACGAATCCTTATTTAGATACTGAATAGTGCTAAAATCGCAATTTTTGTCAAGTGCCGGCGAATCCGGGGCTCGGCCCTCGTTTGATGGTGGGTCCTCCTTCACTTCATATTCGTCCGTCTGAATACGTTCTTCTATTCTAACAGATGGGGGGGAGGCCCGGCTAGCCCGTTCTTCAGTTTCAGGCCAAATGTGGTACGATTCGCTCACAGAAGAATTTGAGCTGCTGAGTAGGATCCTAGGGGACGTGTAGCCATGGTCAAAGCTGTCCTCGAAAAATGGGACCTTAACGTGATCTTCCGGGCTGCTTGTGCTGTGCCGGTTAGAGAATGTCGGGTTATCGACGTCCAATGTGGGATCTGCCAATGGGGAGCTTTCTTGTTTGTCAACATCTGAATCGGACTTTTGCACTCGAAGGTGAGGGTAGTGACCCGACCCGACCTAATAAAGAAAAAAGATGAAAGCTTAAAATGATAAAATCAGGGAAAATAAAATGAAGGTTCGACAGAGAATCTAGGGGATTCTTGACCATTTGGCAGCAACAAATATGACTTTTTTCCCCATATAGAAAGCAAGAAAACAGAATCAAGGTTCAAATGAGAGAAAATGATTTTTGGCCAAAAGTTAATAAAGTTTACCTGTGTCATGGAACTTGCATCGTCGCCTAGGATTTGTATGAATTCTTTGACTTGTGATTGGGCAATATCTCTTTGCAGGATTAGATCCCTAATCTCCTTTTCAAGCTTCATTTTCAAGAAAAAAACTTCGATAAAATCCACTTGTTGCATTCAACTTTAATGAAGTAATTACAATCTAGGGAAGATTGTCCAGAACCAACGGTGCTCATAAAAAGAGTTCGAAAAGAGGGGGAAAAACAAAAAAACAAACCACTTTCTTTCTAATAGGAAACTAAGTTAAACTTAACTGCCATGAATTCCATTACCTTTTCAATCTGGGAATCTTTCTCTCTCAACATTGCATAATAATGAGACAGTCCAACATCATTTCGGCTATTTTTAAGCTCCCTCTCGAGTCTTGCCAGCTCCTTCTGCAGATGACTCACTAACGTCTTATCGGACATCACAACGTTGACTTGGGATTTGGTAGCCACTTCCTTTGCGTGGCTAGCAAAGACAAGAGCCTTCCTCGACTGGTCCACTTGGCTTCGGGTCGGGCTTATCGTGCAGATGATGGCTGTTCTGGAATTTCCTCCGAGTGATGTTTTCAGAATTTGGGTTAGCTTAGAGTCTCCGTAGGGAATGTGCCCATTCGGGTCCTTGCTGTAAATGATCACCACAAAATTAGAAATTGAATAAAACTAGCTGCTCTTGGAAGAACAAGGTTTATTCGTGAAAACAAGCTACAAACGAGAAAAACGAAAAGGGCAATATTAACGCAACTTATAATACCTGAGCTTGTGAATTACAGTTCCCAGTGTAATCAAACTTCGATTTATGTGGCAGACCTCCTTTGATCCCATGCGTGCTGATGATAATAGTTGTGATGCATATTCACTTGCAGCCAGATCAACAAAGTTCTGTATCAAAATGAGAATATTTGCATTATTTTTAATATATTTGGAAAAATTAATCATGTCATAGTATTGTTTTTCATCATTTTGGATATCCATACCACAGTAGCTGCTAGAGTGGTCGTATTGTTACTGCCTAAGAACTCACGAGAAGAGCTTTCGACTGTCTGCAATATAACATATTACTCGCTTATGGTCATAAGGAAACGAATACAATTTTTTTTTTTTTTTAAAAAAAAACACAAGTTTACCACTCTAATAATGTGGTGAGTTCCGGAGCTGATTTCATTAAGCGATGTGTCTCGGATATTTCTTTGAGCTGCAACAGTTAGCCAAAAACATTTAGCTAGCAATTTGAACCGAGCCAAAACTAATTCAATGTTTTAAACAGCTCAAAGTAACAAGGTTATTACCTCTACAGATACAAAGAAGTTCATTTGCATGATTTCGATCCCTCAAGATTTCCTCCGTGAGGTTTTCGACTATGGTTCCTCCCTTACAAATAAGAAACCAATCAGGAAGTTTTAGAAAACAACATTATGTATCCAAATAATCACAAATTAAAACGAGAAAAAAGGGGAAAAAAGGGGAAAAGAAAGTAAAAAAGCACCTCTAGATCGTCTAGAAGTCTTAGTGGAGTACTATCTGAACCAAGAAGGTCCCGAACGGACTCATTGTAAATCTCTATAGCAGAGAACTTCAGAATAAAATCTCTGTTCGAATGCTGAAAAAGGATAAATAATGTATAGTTCTTAGAAGTCATAAGCAAGTGAAGTAATTTGCATTACAAACACTGCAAAACAATAAAGGAAGCATAAGAAAAATATATACTTTTTTCCCCAAGAAATAGGATCTTTTTTTGTTAGTCTTTGCCAGTAACTTCATATGGAAGTTCTTGATAGACATTAGCACTTAATAGTTATTAGTACCTTTTTTATATACTCATATATATCTGCTATCGCGTATTCGGTTATCCCAGTCATTGTATACGTCTTACCGCTGCTTTTTTGCCCGTATGCAAAAACAGTTGCTGCACAAAGCGTCACGAGAGTTAAGGAAAAAAGAAGATTCGTAATTTATAAAATACACGTAACACTATAATGTGAATAAGAAAACAAAAAACGAAAACAAAGAAAGAAACAGAAGAATACACAGTACTTACAGTTTATTCCTCGAACGACTGAAATTGCGACATCCTTGGCTCCATGCTCATACACCTCTCTCGTGGAGCAATCAGTACCGAACACACTATCTACATGAAAATATAAAAATAAATTAACAGCAATAAATTTAAATAAATTTAATGCAACATAGTTCCAAACAAAATGTTCGATTATGCAAAACTTTTTTAAAGGGAGAGTGTGCAATGACTTGTGACTTTAACCAAATGTTCGACATTAAAAATTCTTACTACATAATCGAAACTCGGAAGTCAGCATTTGAAAACACACTAAACACTATTTTCTTCCTCATCATGAAAACAACACTTCTGAAAAAAACCTCAATTGTGCCTCAATATCGAAAAAAATCACAAATTAACATCCACAAGGGATCGATATCGACTGAGACATTACATCGACCAATCAAAGCGCAAGACGACGAAACAAAACAACCTACACATGAGTAAATGCAATCACATCACAACATAAGAGCAAAAACAAGAAAACAAAACACACACACCAAATGTATAAGCCATAGGATGATGATGCATTGACCTCCCAGAATCAAGATTCTTGAAAACAATCGTATCGTCGTTTATGCATTCCCAATCGCAGACTTCATTGCTCAAGACCTCATCATCATTCAACGGCCTTAACCTAACAGATACGCTAATCCTTTCCTCATTTTCTCCAATCACCTTTTCTCTACTCCCCGTTATTGCCATTATCAGTCCTTAAAATTCACGAAAATTTACAATTGGACACTAACGGGCAGAACTAAAGAAAGGGTCCAAGAATCTTGGACAGCCCACCTGCGAGAAAGACACGAAAACCAATATGGATACATATATATGTATAAAAATCCAATCTTTATTATATATATATATGTATGTATGTATTGGTCGTTCTTCGTCTCATGTGAAGATCAGAGGCACAATTTCGTATTGTTATGAGCGATCGTATAAAACTCTGCTTTACCGGTCACAGATTAATTGATCTGCTTCTTTCGTCTGTGAAAATGTGATTTCACAGAGGTCGAGAAACAGAGAGGAGATGATTTTTGACGGAAATTTATATAATAGTTTTTAGCTTTTTCAGGGTGGTGGAAATTGAAAATCAGATTTTATATAAAAGTTGACTGGAAAAATTTACGGAAAATGTTAAAGGTTTCGTTACGGTAACCGTAATCGTCGTGGATAATTGATCTAACAGTTACAAACTCCAACGAATGGTTTCGTAACGAGACTGTAGTATGTTCCATTTAGGGAAAATTTCACTTTTGGTACCTAAAGTTTACCTACTTTTCAGTTTTGATACCCGTGGTTTTAACTTAATCAATTGTAGTCACTAACGTATTCAAAATCCATCATTA